ACAGCACCTCAGACTGAGGAAGTCTCTCGGATGAGAGACGAAACGTTTCTACATTTTTTTGTTGATTTGCTTTGTTTTGGGTTTTTTTGAATGTTCAGAGGACCAGATTTAACTTTTTTAGATTTGCATTTATACTTCTACAGTTCAAATGAATTATAGAAATATCATCATTTGTCATGTTTACTTCCTTAAACTGTTCTTCATTGTAGTATTTACTGTCTTTTTTAGCTGGAAAAAGATTTCTATCTAGTTCTTCATCAACATTATATATTTTAAATTCCAAATCCTCATTCGTCATGAGTAAGCTATTGTCTTTCGTTAAACCATTTTACTTAGTCATCCTTATATGTGAATCATTGGGCATAGTTTTCTAATATATCTTATCTTATATTCATTGATGCTGATTCTGTTTATGCTTTTGTTGTTATTCCTATTTAACACAAGGTCATCAGATCTGATTTAGTATTTTATTGTTTCTGACTGAGTTTATGCTTTTTGTTATTATTTCCTTGACTTTTGACACAACGTGATCTGATTTAGTATTTCATTGTTTCTAATTGTTTTTGGTTTTATATTTTTATTCCATATGCTGTAAATATATCTTGCTACTTTTTATTTGATGATGAGATATTTTTGTTAACCACTTTGGTAACAGTTTCTGTTTTAAATGTGCTCTATAAATAAATCTGACTTGACTTGACTTGACTTGACTTGACTATATGCTTATCCAATTTTTTCCAATTTCCAATATCTGGTTAAACAGTTGCAAACTTAGAGTTTTTAACAGGTAAACTTTTATTTAAGTGAGCAGTGAGTGTTATACACTATTTTAGCTCTGGGTTCCATCAACAGTACTGTTATAAGCCAACTTCTCAATAAATGGGCCCCGGTTCAGGCCTTACCCCATAAATATTGTAAGTAAACGCCTCCTTCTGGCAGTGTTACTCAATGTGCTTTATTTTTTAACAGATAAAATGAGCCAGGCCATTTCAGTGTTTATGTTACTCAAATGCACTTAAAATTAATAAACCTGTAATTTTCCTAAAAGTCTGGCAGCAACTTTAGTTTTAAACGCTCTTTAAGCAGTTTTAGTTTACCAGAATTCGCAATTTAAACAGTACACAGAAACCAGGCTCTGAATAACAGAGGAAAAATGTTTAAATAAAAGACGAGTGTACAGTTTTCTTTCAGGAAAACTGTTATACTCCTTTCCAACAGCAGGTGACGGTGTAAGCTTACTTTTACCGGTAGGAGTCGATGACGACTTCCTGTGAACCGTCCTGTTGACATCCGGTTGTTAACCGTTAGCTACTATGTAGCACACGGTCCAACATGGTTCAAATCAACATTTATGGATGGATTTAAAGCTTTTAACGTGGCATCGCTTCAGAAGCACGCCTAATCTGCATGTACACATGAGTTTAGGAACAGTGTCAGGCTTTATTCAGCGTTTTTAAACACAAAGGAGGACTCAGTTAAAACGAGCTTCATTTCCGGGGTCACGTGACTTTACAGACACGTGGACGTCGGAGGTGGGCTTTACGCACTGACATCAGAGTGAGAGGACGCACAGGGATACGTCACCAGCTTCTCAGCGAATCAGAACGACCCAAACAGTGGTTCTCACCCAATCACAGCTCGTGACAGCTTGCTTTAAGCTAGCAGTTAGCATCAACAGTTCGGTCAAATTATCGTTCATTAAACTTCAAAAATGCACAATTTTACTGTGAAAATGTAACGAATCAGCGTTACAGCAGCTCTTGAGATGGCGCTCAGCTTCCACAGACAGCGTCTTCCCATTTAAATCACGACTCGTTCGAGTCCAAGAATCAGAACCTGGTCGGACATGTAGTGATGTAGGGTTAGTTAGCGTAGGAGCTCCACTACAATCAATATTTAATGACGGGTTCTCTCTTTTTCGAGCTACTTGACAGATATGTGACAGAGATACTGTGTGGGAGATGGTCTAAAAACCAGTGACATGAAACGTTAATTTTCTTTGACCCATCAAAATGAATGTGGTCATTTATTAACAGAATCAAAGTTTAACATCAAACATTGTACACTTGATTATTCTGATTGAAGGCAATAACACAGCTTAATTAATGAGCTTTACAATGAGAAATCATACGGCCATGATTTCTCACTTGCAACTAAAATACAACAGACATTTCTGAAAATATCTGGATTAATTACTGGCAAGACAGGAGAGTTTTAAAGATGGGAAATGAAGGAGTTTAAATGGAGAGGAAAAAGATGGATGAGGGGAAGTGTGTTGACGAAGAACGGCACCCTCCATCCGAACCCAGCTCAACCTCGGTGCACTCGGTAGTGAAGCGACTCGTTACCTTTGCAGAAGATAGGCCAGCTCCGGTATGGAGTTCCATTTCAACGCTACCTTTCAGCGTCTCCTTAGGATGGCTGAGAATCGTCCGAAGTAGTGACGGTACTCC